AGAAGAAAAAAAGGATATAATTGCCGCGGCGTTGCCAAAAGGTCTCCTTTCTCTCTCATCCGGGAGGGAATCGGGCGACCCCTTCGAAACCAACATGAGCTTGAAAATTCCATACTTTTAATAATGACTATTTGGGCAGGTCACTGTGTCTTTTTAATGGAAGTGACTATTTACTGTTTTATTGTGATCCGAACACCCGACAGAAAAACAAGCCTTTCAATTGCGAGACTACAAGTCCGAAGTACCCATTTTTTTCCATGTTATTCTCCCGCTCTATTCTCGTGACGTCATCGTTCCGCTCACGAAAACACGGTTTTCCTACCGTCGTCGTTGCGAGCGCTTGCATGGGTCCACGTTAATGATTTTAAGGTAAGAGGATTGATTCAAGTGTTCTTTGTTTGTCGCTGCGGAGCGGCTCCCGGTATTCCTCTCCCTCTAATTGGAATAATGAGGGCGGGAAGCGGAGGAAGCGCGTGGAGCAAGAGCAATTAGAGGAGCGTAAACGTCCTCGTAAAGTTCTTTCGAAGGACATAATTAGTTGCAATTTTCGCGAAACTTTTTAAATCTTCCCGGGGATTTTCCCGCATTAAAGTCATCCTCGGCCCCGACGCCGGCCCGGTCCGCGGCCTTTCCGGAAACGCTCTTTATCGTTCGAGTGTTTCTTAATTTCCTCGCCGCTAACATTTCAGCGAGTAAGTGGCCGGCTCCTCCCTCTCTCCGCAACGGCGTTTTCTCCCGGCTTCTCGCTGCACGGTTAAAATGATAAGCGAGTCTAGCATAAGTTAATAGCATCAGTCTTCGGTAATGATCGAGGGGGAAGACACGAGAACAAATGCGTCGCGCCACCCCGGTTGTTTTAATTTCGCCTGGTTTTACATGAACCCGTCCATGAAAAGGAATTACAGTTGCACGCGCCATTTGGTTTAGCGTATTGAATAAGATTGAACAAGGTTGTAATATTTAATTCTCGTACATAGTAACCAAGGAAAATTCTCCACAGTAAACACCCGAACTCAAATATGTTAAGTTTATTTGAGAATTTTGCAAGGTGGAGAAATGGTGGTGGGTCCACACCATTTCGTGGGGAAAACAAAGTCAATAAGTTCCAAAAATTATAATTAGAGTCAAAATTAAAATTTTTGAACTCTAATGCGCACCAGTACGAAACTGAGGGGGGGGAGTGTTTTCTCAGGCAGTTTGCGTTGGAATATTAAGTTGGAGTCACGCCAAAAGATCTATACCGGTTTGGGCCTTTTTAGACCTCATCAGCAGATCACATTCGGCAGTGAACCGAACTTAACATGCCGCAAAACCTACAGTTCGGGCCACTTCTTACAACTTCATCGTCATCTTCTTCTTCTTGTTTGTGAATTTGTGTGTTGTTTGTGTTTCTTGTTTGTTGTTCTTCTTGGTTGTGTGTCTTCTTGTTTCCTGGAAGCTGTGAAACAGTTTCTACTGTAAAGTAATGTCAGAATAATTCGAATTTTTCATTTTTCATTTGTTAGTGATTTTTTTCTTCATTTGAGTATTTTGTGAACATCCAATTAGTACAAGTCTCGCTGGTCCTTCCGACTTACAGGAGTTTACATTACACGTATAGTGCAGAAAATGCATTGCAAGGCATGGGCATACGCATAAGTACTTTCGTTGCTATATTCCTGGTGATGTAATTGAATGAAAAATCCACGAGAGTGTTTCAGAAGTCATCAAAATTTTTGTTTTTCTGATATCCTAAAAAATCCTTCTCAGAAGTTATCCTCATGATTTTTAATGCTGCTTTAGATACATTGCCTATGCAACGCCGTTCTGTGTTGTTCACACGATCAAAATACGGCTTGAGATTAATAGGAAGCATCCGTCAATGCCTTTGGCACATTTGAAATGTTGATTCTAAATCACTGAAATACCTGCTCTTTTGCACTTTAAAATGCAATATTATTTTATAATGCAACACAAAATAAACATCTTTATTAGGATATGTTTATATGTCTTTTTTCCTAATGCTCTTGATTCATATTCGAGATCAATGTAGAGAAGATAAATATAGACTGCTATCCTGACAACAGGACTTTGAGTCTTGTCAGAGTGGATAGAATTCTTGTGTTTTTGAAATTCTGAATTTTTCCGCCACATCATCATTGAGCGAGATTTTGATTTTTGGAATTTTGGATTTGAACACTAAGCCTCACACGCGAAATCTCCTAGAAAATCAGTCAAGTTGGTCATGAATCAAAGGACATTTCAAAAGCAGTTACTTTTTTCATGTATGTAGATTGAAACTGTGCCGTAAAACAAAAACAGAAAAGTAAATAATGATTTACTATAATGTCACTTCCGATAAGGTGTAGTGATCCATACCATCGTTTGGAGTTTTCGTCGCTGGTGAAACATGGGGCGAAAATATTGATTTGTCCACTTCTCCCGAGGACCTTTTCCTTTTTCTGTTCGTGGATCCATCTGCAACAAATTAATTTCATTACATAAGGCTTCGGTTCACTCCAGCCACATGAAATCATCTATCACTGTAATATTAAACGAATTTTTTTGCATCTATTTCACGCAGGAAAAACGGGACTCAAAGAATTTCAAGCTGAGAATTTTTAGCTTTTAATGCCATAAAGCGGCAATAATTCCGACTGAACACGAAATGACCCCAGAATCGTAGAAGGTAATTTATGCTCTCTTAATGTGGGAGTCATTTTGAACAGTGCTCCGTCCTCGTTCCTTGATAAACCAACCACGGAGAGCACGACAATTCCCTGAGCGGGTTGAGCCCGGTCTGTCAGAACATGACATAGTCCGTCAGAACGGGACGCTGACATCTCGACGTAATCAAGGGCCGAGCCATTAATCTAGATCAAACGAGTTGTCCGAGTGGGCTCCCATCGTCGTGGCTAATGCTCCTCATCCCCGATTTTTCAAAATTGCTTTCCAGCGGCAACATAACGAGTTCCCTCACAACAGTGCGAGATCGCCGTCGCGGCTCGCGGCCTCAACGGGCAAGGCCGGATCGAAGACTTAATGCGAGAAATTCGGCGTCGGCTTTATTCTTATATTTCTTAGTATGATGTCCCGCACCGCATCCTAAGCTAGGTTGTCTATAAGTCCGGAAATGGTACTGATTTTTCAAGGGCGGTTCGGAAGTACTGAAAAAGTACGGAAATTCCTCATGAAGGTCCGGAATTGTAGTTTCAATTTGAGCATGAAATTCTAGTTTTTGAAATTTTTCGAATTTCGTCAACTGGAGGTTCTGAAAAAGTCCTGAACTTTTCTATTGAAATGACACTGAATTGGGAAATGTAAACATTTCCTAGGAATGGACACAGCGAATTTTGGCCGTTTGAGCCGCACACGGAGAAAAAAACTTCAGCGAGGGGAACTGAACTTCAGTTCACCGACCTGAAAACTACAGTTCATATGGATCACGAAAGTTTTCAGATCACGGAACTCACGTTCCGCANAAATTAATTTCATTACATAAGGCTTCGGTTCACTCCAGCCACATGAAATCATCTATCACTGTAATATTAAACGAATTTTTTTGCATCTATTTCACGCAGGAAAAACGGGACTCAAAGCATTTCAAGCTGAGAATGTTTAGCTTTTAATGCCATAAAGTGGCAAAAATTCCGACTGAACACGAAATGACCCCAGAATCGTAGAGGGTAATTTATGCTTTCTTAATGTGGGAGTCATTTTGACCAGTGCTCCGTCCTCGTTCCTTGATAAACCAACCACGGAGAGCACGACAATTCTCTAAGCGGGTTGAGCCCGGTCTGTCAGAACATGACAAAGTCCGTCAGAACGAGACGCTGACATCTGGACGTAATCAAGGGCCGAGCCATTAATCTAGATCAAACGAGTTGTCCGAGTGGGCTCCCATCGTCGTGGCTAATGCTCCTCATCCCCGATTTTTCAAAATTGCTTTCCAGCGGCAACATAACGAGTTCCCTCACAACAGTGCGAGATCGCAGTCGCGGCTCGCGGCCTCAACGGGCAAGGCCGGATCGAAGACTTAATGCGAGAAATTCGGCGTCGGTTTTATTCTTATATTTCTTAGTATGATGTCCCGCACCACATCCTAAGCTAGGTTGTCTATAAGTCCGGAAATAGTACTGATTTTTCAAGGGCGGTTCGGAAGTACTGAAAAAGTACGGAAATTCCTCATGAAGGTCCGGAATTGTAGTTTCAACTTGAGCATGAAATTCTAGTTTTTGAAATTTTTCGAATTTCGTCAACTGGAGGTACTGAAAAAGTCCTGAACTTTTCTACTGAAATGGCACTGAATTGGGAAATGTAAACATTTCCTAGGAATGGACACAGCGAATTTTGGCCGTTTGAGCCGCAGAGGTGATTTGATGATGGATAATCGTGGGTCGAGGCCCATTTGTTGTACCTCGACTTCTATAGATGATATTTTCGGGCTCCCGGTAATTGCCGCAGTTGGTTTGGAGATGCCTAAAGAGTCCAGATGGGCTTCCATAGCAGACTAGAGCCTTTTCTGAGCGCGGGCGATGGCCTCCTTACTTTATATGCACTGATTTTTGGCCAGCCTGTTTTTGTAGATGACCTGTACTATAAAAGTACTGATTTTTGACCAGCCTGTTTTTGTAGACGACCTGTAAGCACGATGAGCTTTTAAAATCAAACTCTCTATGTGCCAATCTCAAGAAAAGCGGGGCTGAAAATACCATGTTTTGGCCTTTTTTACGCAGTATGTATAGTCAGAATGTTGTATCATCTTTAAAGCCATCCGGAAGATATTTTTTTCCTCCTAGGCCGGGGAGGTGACACGGACCGAAAGGACCAAGAAGCTTCGAACGACAAGAGCGGGGGGGAGGGGGGGACTGCGTTCACTCACTCATCAAAACAGGCTAACCTGTCCTCTGTCCGCGAAAACAGGTCCCAATAAGTCACTTTTTAGTCACGCTTTTCTCGAGATTGGCACATTGAAGTCTATTTTGGGATGAGGGAAGAAGTTTAGTCAATGCTTGTGGGTGAATTTTCATTGTTGCTAATTTTTGTTCCAGATACTGAGGCCTGAGCGATTCATCGCAGGCATGTAGAGAAGTGATGCAACTCCTAATGCTGATTGCCTTGATCTTGTTGATTTTACCGCTGTTAACGGAAATCGGTAAGTGGAATTCTGTGATTCTCCTCATCCGGCTTATGCATTTGAAGTTAATAGAGCACATGCGGTTTTTTTTGTTTTTGTTTATTATCGGCCGGGTCTTACTATCCATGGGAGGATTCGGTCATCGAGCATCATAAATTTATTTTCTCCGACTACGCAGTACTTACACCAGTAGCACAGAGTGAATTACACCAACCCAATGTTATTTTCGTCCATGTATGCTTGCAATCAACATCTGTTATAAAGAAACCATCTTTTACAAGTTTACCTTCACATCCATCCGAGGTCTCGGAAAATACCATTTTTGAGGGTGATGTACACATAACCCTTTAAAATACTTTCTCTTTCCTCCTCCACAATTACATTTATAGAAATCAATACATTACCATCTCAATGGATTATCAGAAAGTAGTCAACCCCGTATTTTGGAACGTCTTCGGGCTATGACATTAATTTTTCCATTCGACTGTCCATGGAAAATGGGACCATGTATGCACTTAGGCAACCTAAAAGAATACTGCGTGACCCCGCGAAACTTTTCCTCAATTCGATTGTATGGCGAAGGTTGAAGTTTCAGACTGTTACAGGTTCCTGTATACTAACTTTGACCCCAGATAGCAGGAGGAACCTGCTTCCGCAACTCTGCCTTGCTAAAGATAAACGCCGTATGAACCTTCAGGCGTCGTCAAATCTCATTTGATAAAACATGAATTTCCTAGTAAACTGATGAATATGTATCTTTTAATTTTTTGGATAATTTTTTTCGCAATTTCATCTGAAGGTTCTGAAAAACTCAAAGGAAAATATTCATCACTTTCCTCAAAAATGAACGTTCAATCGAAGGAAATGCGGCTACTCCCGAGTGTGTATACGTCGTTTCACCTTAGCACGGCAGAACTGGAACACGAAGGGAATGGCCGAGGTGGAATTGCGATCGGTGACCGGGGCGGAGGGCGTTGAGAACAGATGCGTCTGGAGGATCGTAAAACGATGATAGTAAGATTAGCATTTAAAGTGAGAGAGCATCGTATAATTGGAGGAGATGTCAACGATTTGAGAGGAATCGACGCGAGGCGACGCGCTTCCCCGCCGAGAAGCTCCACTGTTAAATATTACACCCGTCCACATCCAAGGCGAAGTTTTAATGAAAATTGTTCTAATGAAGAGAGCGCGGCCCGGAATCGACGGAAAGGGGAAAGACCCCGAGATCCCGGGGAGGTATAATATGAAAGGTGATCCCTCCGCCGGGGCCGGGCGGTGAATAAAATTCCGCGCCGCTTATACATGCCCGCGTGTGTTATCCTTATCGGTAATTGAATTTTTACCCTCCCGTCTTATGTAAATCCGGGGCTTTGATATTATTTTTGATTCCGCACTTATTACGTAATTGATTCGGGGTTAAGTTCCCGACGCTTCGTCCCCAAGACTCCCGATCCCTTTCTTATCCCCCTACAATTACGAATTTTCAAGGATCATGCCCCTCGTCCCGTTCCTCCGCTCGGAGCGGCTGGCTCCGATATTAGCATTTTAAGAAGTTACGCTCCTACTTTTCTTTCGGGAAATCGACCACTCCTCCTGGTAGTCAGTGCCCCCGGTTTTTCACGTTAAGAAGTAAATGTTAGATAGATAATTTCTTTGTTTACTTACGGGTTGGATTTACGTAGGGGAGAAAAGCAAAATGCGTAGTTTGGTGTAGAGGTATGAATGGGTAAAGGATTTGATTTGAATGGGTATTAGTGCTGGGTATAAATGGGTAAAGAATTTGATTTGAATGGATATTAGTGCTGGAGTACTGAATTATTCATTTAATTTAAAGGATCGAATATTTAATGATGATGTAACATACACTGGAAAGAACAACGCATTGGACGAAGATGCTTAACTCTACGAAGATGCTTCTCGCAGCCGAACAATTTTTCGAGTATATCTTTTTTATATATAGATACGTCACGGCGTAATATTGAACTGGTTTTTAATAAGTGAAGCAACTACTGATAAGTTAATTGTTAATAACTCTACGAAGATGCTTCTCGCAGCCGAACAATTTTTCGAGTATATCTTTTTTATTTCTTGTGATACTATTGTGAATCGCGCGCATTGATGCTTAGAAGAACTGTATATGCAAATGAACAAAATCAAAAGGACCCATTAAGGTGCGTAGAATTTGCGTTCTTCAGAGTTCTTTTTGATTAAATTATTTTCACTAAGTTTCCTCCTGCATTATTGCGTACAAAGACACCATTATTACTGCACTACCTCTGGCAAGTATAGCTTTTAATATTCTACAAATTGGATGGTTGCGCAAAAGCTCAGTAGTATCAGGGCTCGCATTCGCTTTGAAGTTTCCGATGAGAAGGACTGGACGATTACAAATTCTAGTTCTGCAAACATTTTTATCGGCGAAGTTTTCAGTCGGCTAGAATTCGGCAGGTTGATTGCATTGAACTGCTCATCTTTGTCAAATCTAGGGAAGAGCTCCAGCCACACCCCAAGGACACCCTTTCTATGTGCGGCTAGGCTCTTCACTCTCTCGATCAGCATAGAATCCACAATTTACTGCGGTGTACTAGTTAAATCCACATCGTTTCCGCGTGCTATGATGACCGTCACCACCCCTCTTCTAGGTCTGATTCCTTTGATTACACCATTAAACTCAGCCCCCGGAAAGCACGGTACCTTCAAGTCAGAGCCTGCCCCTCTTTGGTACATATAAGAGCCGAGCCATCTACCACGCGAGGAGGCGAAGATTTTGTCACGCACGCCTGTGACAATTCGAATCTTCGCTGACGAATGCTTGTTCGCTCAAACTAGATTTATCCAATACGGGTTTAATGATCGATCTTGTAAAATTTGAAAAAGTAATAATTAAACTAGTGTGTCATAACTTAATTATTGATAACTGATCGGATCACGATTGGGTTTCTCTTGTTTATTGAATTTTCCCTGACTAACTTAAGAAACAGTTCGTAGTTCGTTTCCTAATTATCTACTTTGATTGCTACAACCTGAAACATGTAGTGCCGTGGTTAAGCATCCTTACCCGACTTGTCTTCAACCTGGTTACCCAAGCTTCCAGCAAGTCATCCTCCCCCCTTTCCTACTGTTCTTCCCGATCCGCTTTCAACAAGGCCACCCAAGCTTCCCGCGGATCTTCCTCCCCCCGGGCTGGATGGCAGCGAGACCGTGGCGGTCGGCGCGGCGGGAAACTGCGTTGCCGGGGACCTACGGGCCGATTATTGAAACTGATAGACAAAGCTATGGACAAAGGCGACAAAAGGGATTTGGAGGGATCCTATTGGTTGACATGGCTGGTTCTTATAGACTTAAAGCTTTGTCCATAAGTTTCAATAATCGCCCCGCTGGAGCAGGAGCCCATAGAGTACATAGAGTCGTAATGTAATTGGGAGAGCTGGCGCCACTTTTAAGCATTTTCCATGTCCCGAATTCCGAGACTCCTGTGTGACGCCGGGTCACTTTTTCGATACATAATCGATTGTTTGCGATACACGGGTACCCGGCCATCCGATGACAACAACAACAACAAAGGAGATAGGAATTACCACGTATTCCACACCGCCATTTTGGATCGAAATTGTATCGAAAAAGCGACCCAAACTCGGCGCACACCGGGCTCGGAACTCGTCGAGCAGAACATGGCGCCAGCTCTCCCAATTACATTACGACTCTATGTACTCTATGCAGGAGCCGAGCGGATGACGTCTCTTCGGCGAGGATCTCTGCCCGACGGCCGGGGCTCAGTGCGTGCGGACGGTTGCCGGGGTGGTCGGTTGGTAGGCACCCCGGCCCGATGTCTTCTTCGGACGATTATGGGCGTTTTGGGCTAAACCAAGGAAAAAGAGCCGTTTTGGGCCAAAAACAGTGGACGTTTTGGGCGGGCCCTTTTAGGGGAATATGAGATTATTCTGTTATTATTCTGCACAACGTGGCAAACAATTTCCCTTCACACTTGAGGAATCGTCTATGAAGCGATTCCAATAGGCTTGGGACCATCCACAGAAGGTACACTCTTCTGCGGGTGCTCTCCAGAAGTAACTTCTTTCTTATTAGCGATAACGGTTTTTCTCGTAAACTTTCCGATGCCTCACGTTTTAAGGACACTTTCATTTGCTGAAGTGTTATGTCGGCGTTAGAATAAGGTGGATGATTATGTTCCACGTTGTTCCTCTGTATAACATATTTCAAAGCCGAATCCACCAATAAACTCGCACCGCACTTTTTGTTTGAACATCGAAATCTCTTTTATCCATCTTTCAATATGTTTGTATGCGTGAACTTAAATTTATCGACAACGATACTTGGTTTTTCTCTACTGGTTCCTATCTTCCTATCTGCACAAAATACAATGCGTGGAATGCGTGCCGTGTTGCCAAGCATTGAAACTCACTTTCCCAAAAAGTTCATAATTACCCGACCAAAAAGGGTTACGATTTTGTGGTCGTCCTAAAGTCAATTAGCCCAAAAAGGATTGGACCCTTCGGACGGGTGGGTCGTCCTGGCGGTTGGGCATCAACGACAGCGGGCCGATTATTGAAATTTAAACCAGGCCGATAAGACATCGAATTGCGATATATTGCATGGTTGAGATAGGGCTATGTCTTGTCGTGTCGGGCTGACATAGTTTCAATAATCGGGCCGCAGGCCAGAGTTGTGGATCTCCTCTCTGAGTGTATCCCAGTGATCTTGCATAAATCTAATCAGGGCATGGTCAGTATGCGGGGGGTGGACCGAAGGTCGGTGTTCGGGCGCCGCTGGTTCCGCTGGTCGAAAATGGTTCGCAATGGGTCAGAAGCGCTGGTCACAGAATCATATTTTGATGCCTTGTTCTTGCAGATCAACAAAAAATACTAAGATCTGTCCTAACAGCGACTCTTTTCCTTGCATATTAAGATATGTAGATATCGCGCCTTGTAAAACGCAGTTTATGACGTCATCCACCGCGGTAGTACGTACCATATTATGCACTACTGCCGTGCACTGGA